ATCAGTAGGTAGACGCAGACAAAATAAACTGCTACGATACTTTGACTTGTAGGAGACATAGAAATATCTCATGCGCTGACGAAGGTAACAATAGGAAACGGATGCGAGATAAGATTTGACCGAGCAATACCTACCGAGAAGATAATCTGTTTTGTCGACATCAACGGAATCCAATCCTCCCTTATCATAGACATATTGTGTTCTTCCTTCGGGTCTGAGGGCCACCCATTCCTCAATCAAATTCCGTTTGTCCGTTCTTTGTCCGAATCTAGTTGAGCTTTGTGGATCAGCTGTAGTATTCGGCAGCATTTCACGCCGCCCACCTCCCATCACGACCTTTAAATCCACAATAAACATTAGGCTATGTATGTACAAAAACATAGGAAACTGTGCCGTAGCCACGAGTATTGAAGTGGTCAGGTTGCGAGCAAAGCGAGAACTGAGAGGCTGGGGACCGTCAAGGTCCCCCGGTCGGGTTTGGGGATCCGAGAGCCCCTCCCCCCCCCCACCAAAATTGCTATTTTTACATTTTATAAACCAATTTTCATGATGTTCTGTAGTACAACAAAAATACATCGTATTCAAACCAGGCAGGTTCATTCATGAGAAAGATTGGTACTCACAGCATCGTTGATATTTTAGCATTTTGACATTGAAAAAAATCTAAGATTAGACCTATGAACGAAAAACAATATTGCTAATACTATGGTACACTTTCAATCAATACACGTAATTAAGAGAGGTGCTTTAAAAAAAACTATTTACAGTATATAATTATTTATAAAAAATAATCTATCAGGAATAAATAGGCCTAGACCTAAATACAGATAAGCCATATGGTTCTTCTTGCCAGTTTACTATGCAATTTGTGAAGAAATGAATAACTCCCACGCAAGTGTATAAAGGGACCTTTAGCCTAATTTTCAGCAAATCTCACTGTTGGTGAGATTTTCATTTAGATAAAAGCAAAGCCCTGTACTGACTGAAACTGAAGAAAAAGGCATTCTGGTTTATTAATCAATCATTATATGTCTTATACTAAAGAGAAAAAAAATAATGTAAATTATCATTAACCGTTCACCCCAGGTTTCTGAGTGATTTAGGAGGGAGTATGTTGAGTCTAAACAGCATACAAGTGAAATTTAGCCTTTTTCCTATTCAAAAACATAATCAGTTAACTTGTCGTCTGTCAAAAAGTGGTCATTGTAACCTGACCAACCGTACCGATGGCTACGGCCCTGATAACATACCGTAAAGCCTGGTAGCACACTGCGTCAGCCTCGAGCCGTATAATTCGTTCATGCTATGACTGATTGTGTGATAAATTATTCGTCCGGCATTCCCACATCTAAAACTGGTTTTCCACTAGGCGAATTTATTCGCACGAATTAAAGCGTCGGTTTGCTTCCTGAGTTCCTGAGTTCTGATTGGTTGCGCATTTTTTCGCTAGCAAAAAATCCGATAGAAATGTGAATGCGCATGTGTATGAGCCGACGCTTTCCATTCGCGCGAATAAGCTCGCCACGTGGAAAACAGGCTTAAAATCTCACTTACACAATAGTTACATCGTTGCTACTGTGATTTTACTGCAATCTTTACGCTGCGTATCTGTTCCGTAGGCTCCCCGTTTCAACTGACCAATCAGCGTCGCCAAATGCTGCCAGGTATAACAATTGTGTAGTTCAATTATTGTAAACGCTTCTTGTGAAGCGTTTCCTCAATATTTGTGTAATAAGTACCGTAAAATCTTTGTGATGCTTACTTGGATTTCAGGTGCGTCTTCAACAAGTTGCAAAGCAATATCTTTACACCCTAAAGCAGCCTCTTCTTCCGGTATATCACTGTCGTTTTCCCAGTCACGCTCGGGACATCTTGCGTACGCGGCAGACGGTGTGGCGTGCGTCACACGTGCTGTTGTTACCAGTCCAGTTGACTTTCCTATAACAATGAGAAATTTAATTTTAATTTATTTGAGTAAATACAATTAGATTAGATTGAATCGATTGATTGGATTGATTGATTGATCGATTGATTGGTTGGTTGGTTGATATGATGACTGACATTTGGATCGTCTATTTTAATCGTAAGAAGCATTATAATAAAATATATAGGCCTATAGTATACTGTATAAATATTCAAACCTGCTCTTTGGCTGAGGTGTAAAATTGAATCGACCCCTGCCGATTCCGTTGACGCGCAGCTTCCACGAATCACGTGATCATCAAGACCAACTACACCTGCCTTAGTTTTTACACCGCTTAAGAACGCACACGCGGTACCAGCAGAATCGGCTACCTGAGCATCTGTGTTGTATGTCTGTAAAATAAAGGGATTGTTTTACCATAGAGGGCAGTATTGAAAAGGGTGAAATTAATCGTAATGTATACACTTTTATCTCCGCATGAAATTACACAAATGGAGAACCTAATCAATAATTACAAAAAAATAATAATCATTTCAAATATATAAATAAAACATAGATACTTATGTATATTTATAGGCCTACAGAAAAACTATAGGTAAACGGATTTACTTAGGTTAATTCCTAATATAGTATTATAATTATTCGTTTTATATAAGTTACACCTAGGCCTACCTTGCTCAATGCAACATGAGGGAACTTTTCCCACGAAAGCTGGTATTCCTCGCCCGTGTTTCCATCCAGCTGCCCGACATATACTCTCCCAGCAGATACTGTTGCTGGACCCATACCATCTCCAATGATAATCACGAGATTCTTTGCGATGTTTTGGTTAAGAACTTGCGCACGAAGTGCCCTCTCCAGTTCATCAGCTGCAAGTTCATTCCAATATTCAGCATATTCCTCAGCTACAGAAAACGATAAATTGATTTAAAGGCATGCGGAAAACCCAGAAAAAGCAAGAGGAATAATATATGAATGATGTAAATTGAAACGTAGCAGTATAGGAATCTGACAAAGAAAGAAAAAAAAATACTCATCCTCCACAGGGACTCGAACCCGGGACCTTTCGCATATATATCAAAGCATCTCATTCGAGAAATTGCATCCAGCAAGCTCAAATAATGCACAGAAGAGGGCGTATGCCTATCTTAGATCTCTGACTGGTTTGGCCACGTGCGATAAAACCGTTACTTCAGAGACACGTTAACAAATTGAAAAGAATTCTTGAAGCAATTATATTATATTTTCCTCTGTTAAACCAAAATAAAATAAACTATTCAACCTAATATCACATAAAAACCTGATGAAATTCTTTAAAAAACCTATTTACTGGTCGGGCATAGATAGTACAAAAACACAAGGAAACAAACAAAACATTAACAAACGCGGCGGTAGTCAGGGACAACCTTTCCGGAGTGTCAATCAAACTTAACAACTGACTAATCAGAACAACGCTAGGAATACGCGCGCGTCTCACAAACACACGTGTTGTCCCACAAGCACAAACGCACGTGTTCGCGTATGTTTTAGAACTGTCGTCTTGTGGGACCTTAGCAACAAAATCCAAGGGGCGGGGCTTAGCGCAAAGGTCCATTATTGACAAAGTGCCTTGTCCAAGAACACAAGCGAAATGCACAGCTCCACGAATTACTGTCCCGTTTTTCGGTAGCAAGTTTTAGCTAAACGATATTTAGAATATTATCAGAATCTTTTCATAAGCATAAGTACGTTCAGCTTTTAAATGCGTCACCAAATATACCGATAACTCTAACCACTGAAACACTGTTTTTACATGCCAGTTTAATAAAAGATGTAGCGAAGCTCTGCATGCAAGTAAGTTACAATCGAGCATTGTTTGTGACTATATATTGTAAATCGATCATTGTCAAGGCATTTTTACATAGGTATCGTCAGTTCAGAATCATTGAACTTTTAAATTTTTCCTATTGGGAAGCGAAATCCTTGAGATTTGTTCGGATTTTGTGAAGTGTCAATTTGGAACAGTCAGGAAATCGCTTCCCTGTATAAGTACAATATAAGATGCTTCATTAAACATTGATCACGATCGATGAAACCAATCAAAGTAATGTTTCGTGGGAAAACTTTAACGATGCAAATTTTAGGGAAGAAAGGGACGTGACTCAAATAAGCATTAATCGAGTGTATTTAATATAGTTGGCTTATTTAATGGAATACTTGAATTGTTTGAAACATCATGAACCAAAAAACAGGTATTAGAATGGAATCTTCTTATCCAATGGCCTCCTAAGCTAAAATCGATTTTACACGATTGATAGGTGTTATAACTTTAGGCATAAATCACATTGGCGTCAAAATACATCAGTAAAAGGTCTGTCATAAATGGGCGCAGGCCCTTAAATCATTTATTGAATATTTTATTTATTTCCGTAAATGTCTGTTAAATCAGTATAATTGACTTATATTTCATTGGTGGTTGATAATTCGATTAAAGAAATTTAAAGAATTTTTGAAGCTATTTTTGAGATCGACAATAAATCTTTTTATATGGGTTTAAAGATAAGTGGAATCTGCTGCTACACTTAAGTGGCATCGGTTGCAGCACGTAAGTAGGATCACTTAAGTAGAATCGACAGACACCATCGAGTGCGAAGGATAGCTCCCTAACGGCTTCGCGTGTGTTTGATTATTGCTGAGATGAAAATAGCGGAGGTAATGGTATTAACACAGTGATGCTTTCCATAATAATAGAAATCTAGAATAGTGAACTAAATACTGAAAACTTTATTTGTCCAAAATGAAATTTGTTGCGTTGACAAAGCTCATAAAAATTTGAGGAAATACATGTAACAGGCACATTAAAACATAAATAAAGTAAAGCCTGGTTGCCTTTAAATCGCTACACTCTCGCTACAGTGTTTTCAGTACAATCGTTCTACTACGTAGCAGTCCCAGACGCAATGGGAAGACTTCCCGATTCGACCGACCAATCAGCATCACTGAATGCTCAGCTGTCGGCGACAGCGTGTAGCGATTTTATGAAAACCAAGCTTTATTCTGAGGTATTGTTATACTGCATTGTAATTAAAGATTCATGAAAGGCTTCTTAAAGATTCGTAATATCAAATTAATCCCTTTTGTTTCTATTTTGTTCTTGTTACTGTCAACATTATATTTTAATTAGCATCGTTTTTACCATTTACTGTAGTTTTAACGGTTTATTTATCTAATTTTAAAAATTTTGTTGAATTAATCAAAATTTAAATATTGATTATGAAACGGATATTGTGGCATGGCTACTATTTTCGATTACATAGGCCTAAGTTTTTTTGACATATCAATATCGCCCTCAAGATGATGAAGTCATTATTTTGCCAGGGTAAACCGGATTATAGGGTAAGCCTATCTCCATTGTTGTTATATCATATGTTGTTCCATGTTATCAAGTGTACGACTTTATCCCACCTATAGAATGTATGCGAACCTGTTGCTTGTACCATTCCCAAGAGTGACAAATTGGTTTCTGCCACTGCGACCATGACCGAAATACTTGAAATAATAATAACGAAAGAAGTACCGGTAATACGTGATTTTATTAGGATTTAAATTAACATTTGATATCTTTTTAATGTTTCCTCATATTAATTATTAAGATCTCACGCCAGGCAATGTGGTATTCATTCTCGGATATTGCCGACTTGAGCGTGACAATTTAGATCGCCCTGTACGTTGGAGAGTGTGTGTGTGTGTGTGCACGGTAATATAGAAGGGATGTGAAGGTGTTGGTGGTGAGGGTTGGTGTACGTGAGATCGGTTGGCACAGCGCGGTTACATTTCAAACGTTGAGGGCGGGGATCAAGTTCAAGTTTTCTTTTTACAATATAAAATATCGTTAATTGGTGTTAACATACAAGATATAGTTAAAATATTGATTAGTAGTGTTTGTGGGTACGTGGCCAAGAGTTGATTCTAGCTGCTCAGAGGCGGGTCGAAGGGCGGAAAGCCAGTCGGCCTGCTGCCCACTCTCTTTAATTTTTGAACATTTAAAAAAAAAAAAAAAGAAAAAGGAAAAAAAAAATTAACGTCTGATGGTTCAATTTCCAGTCAACGGTTGCACACAGCATTTCGACGCCATAGCGGAACTTTTCCTTGTTTAATTTCGTAGGCCTATTGTGTGACGTATGTCTCTTTTTATAGGTGTAGTTAGTTGCGAGTTGTGTTTTCACTCACGTTTCTACAAACTCATATGTGTCGAACAGTGACCTATATTTAGATGCGAGTCTAAATGTGAATTTATAAATAATATATTGGTCCTTATTGAAAAATCAAAAAGGAAATTTGGATTAGACCCATGTAGACCCAACAGCCGCTATTTTTTTCGAATACTGTACCCTATAAATAAGTTGTTTTTCATGCGCATGTGCAATTATACACACGGGACCAACGGCTTAACGTACTATACCGTCCTATACTGAATACGATGTGATTAGATCCAAGGACACACACAAGAACGGCATCAGCAAGTTTGAACGCAGTCCCTCTCGTTATAACAAAACCTCTTACTACTGCGCGATAACTCCCCTCAGCCTAGCTACTTAAAAATATGGAATTCAATTCAGTCAATTAATTGAAAAACATGGTACGAAGTTATATTCAGACGGAAATGATCAATTTCGAGAACATACAATTATATCCACCTACATATATTATCTGAATATCCTCTAGTGTCGGATCGTGAACGTAATACCAACAACTTCCGAGGATGTTGCTAACTTTGGCATACCCGACTTAAACCATCTTGCGGTAATGCTATAATTATGTATACATTTTGCACTTTAAAGAAAAGGATTTACGAGTGCAAGAATGTTTCCCCAATTTGGATTCGAACCTGGGATTCTCTGCTGAGCCCCGGGTTCAAATCGTGTCGGGAACCTATTTCTTTCCCACACGGATTCCTCTTCTTTGACGTTTAAAAGGTACCGTATTTATATATTTTTAGCAATACCTCAAGACGGTTTAGAGTTTATCCCAATTAATATCATGATTTATACATACATACATATATATATATATATATATACATATATATATATATATATATGTGTGTGTGTATATATAGGCCTATATATACTCATATATATAATATATAAATATATTATTACATAATGATATTATCTATATAGGCCTATAATGATATTATCTATTATTATGTTGATGATAATGATAATTAATAATAGACCCAATAACTTAAAAAGTACATATTAAAGCAATATTAAGCTTCAATTCTTATCACTAACACAATGCAAACACAGTCATAACGAAACAGAGACAAAATTAAGAAGTCACAATAATTAAAGCAGTTCTATTTTGCTGTTTTTTGTATGAAACATCGACAGTGCATTTGTGATACACAATGACAAAGTAACGCGTTATACGCGATTAAAATACCACGCACAATCCAAAAAGACTAAACAAATATTTAATTAAACACTACTGTATTAGGAATTTGATGTTATAATAATATAGACCTACATGGCGATTCTAAACAAATTAAATCAACCGAAGTCTGCTTCAGCAACGAATTGTGTTCATTCAAACATCTGCTTGACTTCGTGGAAAAAAAATACAAATACAACGAATGACTTATCATGTAGCGAAGAAAAATAATTTGAAAACCTCTATCTGCTTTCTACAATAAAGTTGGCTTAGAATAATGGATGTTTTTAGTTCAGTATCAGCATATTATTGTTCAATATCGAATTTAAAAGCTTATCTAATAAAATGTCATATCACATTTCGTAAGTCAATGTTTACAATGACGGATTTTTTGATCTACAAAATCAAACAAGTAAATATATGCAGCTGTTGTCTGGTCTAACACCAACGACTAAAACCATGAGAATTTTTAAAAATTTAACGATACTAT